CCTCCACACCAAATCCCCCCTGGCCACCGCCAGGCGCTGCCGGAGATGCCGGTGTCCTAACTGTCAGTCGTCCAGCTCCAGCGACGAGCCCGGGAAAAAGAAACAGCACATCTGTCACATCCCCGGATGCGGGAAAGTATACGGCAAAACCTCCCACCTGAAGGCGCACCTGCGCTGGCACTCGGGAGAGAGACCCTTCGTGTGTAACTGGCTCTTCTGTGGGAAGAGCTTCACCAGATCGGACGAGTTACAGAGGCACCTGAGAACTCATACCGGGGAAAAACGCTTTGTGTGTCCGGACTGCTGCAAGAGGTTCATGAGGAGCGACCATTTGGCCAAACATGTGAAGACGCACCAGAACAAGAAGAGCAAAAGTCACGAAAAGCCCTCTGATTACGTCAAAAGAGAAGACCTGAGACCTGTGTAGTAGTAGACTTGGATGACCATAGACTAGTGCAATACATATAATCTTCAGGATCCTCTTGAAGCGAAAATACATTTTTGATTTTTTTTCATTAAAAAGGTTGATGAGACTTACAAGACTGGGAGTCTTTTTTTTTTCTTTTTTTTTGGACTTGTAAATATAATTTTCAAGTCATTCTCAGTTCCTCAAGGAACCTTGGGAAATGTTTCCGGTCCCTGAGCTACTCAAAACATTAACAAGTTTTAACTTGTGTTCAGATCTCTGTCTTTGGTGGAAGATTTCTTTATTCTGTAAATATATTGATAGCTTTCAATAAAATTGTATACATAACACCTCTTTCTCACTGAAGACATGCGCTGGATAAAAGCATCTGCTAAATGCAGAAATGTACATTGAATCAAAGTTAAAGTTTATGACAGTTGGGTGTTTTGTAATGTGTTCCTCAAAAGTTACTGACTTCATGTACTTCAGTATCCTTTAAATTCCTAGGGGGGAAAAAATATTTCTTTATAATAGTTTTTTATTTATTTCTCTCTCTCTCATAACCACTTCAGGAAACTCATAATTCTAGGCTCCTAATACCAATCATGCAATCGTGTACTGGATCTTCATCTATAAAGATGAATGACCTCAATATTTTTACTGACTTAAGTAAAGGAGAGAAGCCCTACTTACTGTGTTCACAAATTAATCCTACAACAAATTTAACTTTATTATTACAATAGTTTATTCATATGTACTTCTGTCATAATGAATAGTGATTTTCTCAACACGCAGCTGTTTATTGAATTATTATTCAGACATTCATAGTCATCTCTTCACATTCATTCATGTTTTCAGCAGGTACTTTCTTACAAGAGTGACATAAAAACACATGATCGGTAAGTTAGGCCTTAAACATCATGAGAGGCCCATACAAAGTAGCCAACAATTCGCTAAAGCACGAAATAGATACGAATTGCCATAAGAGTGTGTTGGAATTTGCTCACAATAGACAATTAATCATGTTGCTTCTAAACTCACACATTGCCACGATGAATCCCAAAATACAAGACAAAAGAAAGCAGGGTATTTGTAATGTAATCTTGACTCACAAAATAACGTGTCATGTGCTTTAGTAGATGTGACTGGTGTCGTGCTATAGAATGAATAATAACTCAAATCACTCAAAATGTCCCATTATGAAGTTAAAAACCAATTACTGAAGGATCTGCGCATGTGCCTTTTCAGGTACTGAGTCTCAATGTGCCACTGCAGCAGCAAGCAGTGACTTCTTCCCATAGGGCAGACAAGGCTGTTCCTCTCCTTCAGAGAGTGAGATGTGGTCAGGCTATCACAACAGCACATGTGGCTTTGCACGGAGGGACTGCTGGAGGGAGTTTGTGTTTAAGCCTCACCGTGACCTGATCTGAATGCCACACTCTGATCTTCCTTTGATGTCAGTCTGTTGAAAGTCTGGCAGAATCATGCATTTAGACACACATACTTAAGCATGCATACTTCAAATCTAACGTGTGGTTTTTTTTTTTTGAGTATTAATAAAAAATAAGAATAAGTAATAATAAACCCAGGCCTAGCTGAGCATCAAAGGTTGTTTGGGGTGTGTTTAAGAGCAACACTTCTGGCTGGAGAATGAAGTGATGCTCTGTGTCAAACCATTTATACATTTCACAGCTCTCACCTCAGCCTCACCTAAGAATCGCATGGTACTTTTTTTTTTTTTTTTTTACAAAACAACACATTGATTTTGTTAAACAGTGAGACTAAATACACTGCTATATTGTGACTTGACCGTTTAAATTTGAAAAAAAATATTGCATACACATTTTTATTAAAACAATATTTTATTAAGCACTATTTTATTAATTTATAAACATTATTGTAAACATTATTTTATTAATTTATGAAGTGAAATCCTTTTGCTGAAAGAAATAGTTCCTATGCTTGTTTCTGTGCATTAAAAATAATGATCTGCTATGTGCAGTGTGCAGTGCTATGACAAACAGGCCAAAGCTGTGGCTAAAATACAGTATTGACCAATCAGAAGCCAAGGCCAAAGTTATTAGTCTATAAAAAAAAAAGTTCCCTTCTGAAAAGAGACACAATCGACAAATGAAATTTGCGTAGTCAATCTTTTTTTTTTTTCTCACATAGTGTGGTTGTGTTTCTGAACATTCTTTGTAGGCTATGAAATCTTCACATTATCATCATTATCATTATTTGACCACATTAAAAAAAAAGAGTCAAATCCAAAAGTCTAAATTAAAGAACAATATTTTAATGCTATACAAACATAATGCAATTATTTATTTTGTTTTATTTTGTTGCTTAATATCTGCTTGATGTGTCTCGGGGATTTTATATACATGATGGCATAATTTGCCTAAGAATCAGGTGCAAGTGATGACTGAGCTACTAATATACCAGCGCCATCTCGCGTCGACTTGAGGTTCTGAAGCTACAAAGTGTGATCATATTTTGCTTCTGTTCTGCTGCTTCTTACTGAAATCTGAAATGACTATCGCGTGAACGGTTCATTCAAACAAACAGGACACGATCTTTTCAAGCTGTACTCATAATCCATAGGTGGGAATAGTTCAACTAACTGGCGCTAAAGTCAAGAACAGCGTTTAATCGCAACCATACAATTGAAAAAAGAACCATTGAGAAGAAAAAAAAAAGCTTCATTTTGTAATGACCACCAATGTCTACAATGCTAATGGGAAAAAAATGATTGATAGAAAATAAATATATTGCTGCACTGTTAAAAATAAAGGTTCCAAAGTTACTCAACATGGGTTTCTTTGTTAATAAATAAATACATAAAAATGATATAGTTCAGTTTAGACTGCGGGTGCTGTAAAAAAAAAACATTATCAGAAGAAACTGCAGTTTAACTGCCAACTCAAGAACTCCATTCAACAGAAAGTGATCCTTCATACGAGAGGGTCCTTTGAGTTGGAAAATCCATTGAAGAAACCTCTATGTTAACAATAAAGAACAAACAGCGGGTGCTATGATGAGTTTTCAGTTTGATTCACTGAAGCTTAATGCATGTTTAGTGCTGTTTTTCTTTTGTTGCAGTCCTTCTGCGGATTTGAGTCGCAAAGGGAGCTGTCCAGGTGCTGAAACGTCTCGACGCTGTCCAGCGATTAATATTATTCCTATACAGCCGACGCATTCCTTCGTGTCAAAACACACAAAAAATGTTTAGGGAAAATAATGCTTAAGGAAATCTTATCACCCTGATGAAAAAAAAAAAAATAGAAATGTAAAACGCGGTGCATGCATGAACTAGGAATATGCATGTGAAGCGCGTGAGATTCTTACATTAATTGAACGCTTGCTGCCACCATGTGGAGTTCTCCTACAACACCAGTCTGAACAGCATTCCCATTCGTGTCCAACATCCAGCACTGAAACTTCTCAAACAAGAGCTTCTCTTTTCAAGGTTAAGAAGACCGCTTGGCCATAAACATATAGACTAACCCTTCAAATCTCGATGAGTAGGCTATCTCGCTTATAGATATTTATAATGATTAACCTGTTCAAGCACAGGTGCTGAAACGCACTGTTCTCCAAGCACTGTTGTCCTTGATGTTTCAAGGTCAGAATGACCCAGACTCCTCTCACAGCCTCTAAAGATCTGTAGCAGCACTGTGCGGTCTTCTGCGGATTTGAGTCGCAAAGGGAGCTGTCCAGGTGCTGAAACGTCTCGACGCTGTCCAGCGATTAATATTATTCCTATACAGCCGACGCATTCCTTCGTGTCAAAACACACAAAAAATGTTTAGGGAAAATAATGCTTAAGGAAATCTTATCACCCTGATGAAAAAAAAAAAAATAGAAATGTAAAACGCGGTGCATGCATGAACTAGGAATATGCATGTGAAGCGCGTGAGATTCTTACATTAATTGAACGCTTGCTGCCACCATGTGGAGTTCTCCTACAACACCAGTCTGAACAGCATTCCCATTCGTGTCCAACATCCAGCACTGAAACTTCTCAAACAAGAGCTTCTCTTTTCAAGGTTAAGAAGACCGCTTGGCCATAAACATATAGACTAACCCTTCAAATCTCGATGAGTAGGCTATCTCGCTTATAGATATTTATAATGAATAACCTGTTCAAGCACAGGTGCTGAAACGCACTGTTCTCCAAGCACTGTTGACCTTGATGTTTCAAGGTCAGAATGACCCAGACTCCTCTCACAGCCTCTTAAGATCTGTAGCAGCATGTACTGTGCGGTGTTGTGCGCTTCTGTCGTGTGTGGCTGTTGTGTCAAACTTTGGGAAGTGTTTGTTCGTGACTTGCTTTCTCATTTAAGGCACAAAGTCCTGCGGGAACGTGCCAGAGCTGTCGTAATGCTCGAGCTGATGCTTCTGTAGGAACGAGATGTGTTTCAGAGCCGACCTGATGTTGTGGAGAGGTCCGAGGATTACCAACCGCGCGTAACGCAGGCGATTTGAGGAGCAGCGAATAAAACATTGTCTCGGGAAAGGTCATCGTGATCCGTCAATGAGATTTTTCTGCTGATATCTGAGAGCTGATTTTGGAGCATCTGACGCCGAGGAAATGTAGTTGCACCCTCCGTTCTTTCACAAGGTAAGCGGCTTCCTGGACTTTTCAATGTTTTGTTGATCTTGTGAAGTAAACCTGGAATTGTTGATCTAACAGGTGCTTCACGACAGGCAGGCGTTCAGTAAAGAGCAGTCTGTGCTTTTGTGCTGTATGTCCAGTCGGTAAAAACAGTGGATTTTATGTTATCTAAAACATATCTAGCAATGGCAATCTATAATGCATACTGATATAGCATCAGGTTTCTATTAACCTTTCAACAGCCATCAGTTTCGATCATCCATATGTCATATGAATTGAGAAATCAACATGCACTTAATCAGTGTTAACATGTGTAGGCTATATTAACCAAGACTAAATGTGATGCCTATTGGCATGATGATGATCATCAAATCCATTTCTGTGAAAGAAAACTTTTAGAGCACCGTTTCGGTTAACAGGCAGGCTATTATTTCAATGCAGAGGTCTTCAAATCAGTTAACATATTGATCCAGTAGAATTTTCAGTCATGGGTTTGTTTGTTCTCGACTTATTTGAGGAAGTTAGCCTACAATAAATTATTTTAAAACTCGGCAACCTGTGTGCGGAGACTGGTAAAATAGGGTTTCTTAATTAAAGGTCATTCAATGATATTAATAGTTACATTTTACCATATCCATTTAAATAATAATTTATGCTGAAATGGCTCTTTAAGGCTCTGTTCTGTTCTCCTGTTGTTTTACTTTAGAAAATTAAACAAGGTTCTGTTTCCAGAAGAGCTTCTAACCCTAATGTATTTGATTAGATTTTAATTTTTTTTTAAAGAAAAGACAGGCACAGATATATGAGACCATCTAGTTCATTAGCATATTCGACAATTGTATTGTTTTCATAAATGCTATGAAAAATCAGTTTCAATTAAATAATGCGTATATGGAACTTAAATGATGCAGGTGTTGATGCTGAACTTCCCCTCTGTCTCCCTTCCAGTCAGCCTGACTTTTTTTGTCTGCTAAAATAGGAGCAGTTTCTCTCAAAATGACAGCGCTCTTTGGGTTGAGGACTTAAACACTGGGGCTGATGGCGGCTTCTTCCTCCTCCTCCTCTTCCTCTTCTGGCGGCGATCCGGATCCCAACTCGACAAATTTACGGCCACCCTCCTCAAGTAGGTCCATCACCGATAAACCGCTATTTCACTCCGGCTATTTGCTTTGTGGCCAACGTCATTAATCTTGTCGGTGAGGCGGGGAAACGGCGCTGTTCGCAACGCGTCACGAGCAACAAATCACCGCAGCATTGAGCGCGCGGCGGACCTCCCGCGCCAGCCAGCCAGACCAATGTCGCTGTCAGCATACTGTAGGTGATGGCCTTTAAACACCTGCTCACAGGCAGTTAGCGAAGACAGACGAGCAGCCAACTCTGATCCGTCAGTGTTCATTTTAAATACATTTTTTGCCTTGCTAGGTGTAGCTACTCACAGGTAATATGCAACACACTATTGTTTAAAATGGATCATTAAAATTAATTATAATTTTTTTATAATTTAAAATTAGCCCATTATTATTATTATTATTATTATTATTATTATTATTATTATTATTATATTCCAGGACAATTTTCTAGCTTCAGTATTGTATTAAATAGGCTATATATTTGTCGTCTGGTCTAAAAGGAAAAAAACGGGAACGAGTCTGTCTGTAGAAGTGTGTAATTAGGTGAAGTGTGGCTATAATTGTAGGCACTCTAAATCGGCACTAATGGAAGCACACCGCGCTGTTTATTAATTTCCGTATGACCGGAACAGAAACATGCTCTTCAAAAATTAGTCACGGCATATTATGACTTCGCGTATTTCTGTAGCTGCGGGGTAAATTCGCTCACATTCACCCTGAGCTCTGTCTTCATTTTTTTAGACGAGCAGTTGTAGGTTTTAATACTTTATTTCTCATAGTTCTTTTTTTTTTTAGAATTTTCCAAAGCGTAAAATCTTCGCTATTTATTCATTTCCATTATTCTACTCTTGTAGATATGCAGACTTTTCGAAACAAGATGTCAATAAATGATAGTTTTAGCCATTTGTGACGATTACATTTACAAATATAAAAATTGCATCAGATTTAAAAAAATTAAAAAAAAATTAATTTTGTTTTCGTGCCCCACCAAGCATGGCAATTATTTACGTCACATCAAAATCGCAGTTGAAATAGAAAACGATTGAATGCAACCGAGATGAATAGAGGAGAAGCCATTTGGAGAAGAATGGGACGGGATTGCTGGGAGACGCTGCGCGGCTGAGCTCTGGAGCGACAGAGATAATGAGCTGCTGCTAAATGCTGCTGAACGCGTAATAGCGCTGCTGAGGATCAACCTCTCGTCCTGATGTGGCCTGTGTTAATGCTGAATTCTGTTCAGCTGCCACATTGATTTCATATTAGTAGCAGAAAGGATGGCGCATTTACCGCTTGGGTACATATGGAAAGAGGGCTTCAATTGAATTTTGTGCCATAATCATCGCTTTATTTGCCAGATTACTTAGAGGTTTCGCCGTTTTCTCCCCGTAGACTATGACTGGAGTGGAGTCGCTCATGGATGCACCAGGAAACTTGGAATGAAGATATGCGGTAAGTTAAAAAAATAAAAAATAAACCTGACTCCTCTATAAACAATTCAGTAAAATGCAGTGCCAGCTGTTTTGAAATGTCACCTGGCGCTCTGGTGCAGAGGCCCTAATAGCCTATGTCTGTATTAATTGCTTTTGATGAGCAGACGTGTCTCATAGCGCCCCCTTTTGGTGTTTTCTGCTGATCACCTAATTGACAGTCAACAGCACCATAGCAATCACCTCCATTATATACCCATGAATGGAGGAGAAGACTGAAAATAAATGCGTTTCTTTTTAAAGACCAATTTAAAGGGGCGAGTATTTGACTCTGAATCCGAAAAGACTGAAGATGCACTGCAGTGAACAGACTAAAAACATCCTGGATATTACAGAATTTGCTAAATGTTCATTTATAAAGAAAATCCCTTCGAAAAGGTACGGTTATTAAAGATAAAGAAGAGCTCCACGATTTGTCCGGCTTATATTTACAATCGAGTGAAGAGGTGAGCAGATAAATCTATATGTGTCCCGAGAGAATTGATGCTCAGTGGAGATCTATTAAACCACAATCCGTCAAGCCTCTGCTTTGCTGCGATAACACATAGTGCTTCAACCTTTACTGATAAGAGGTGCTTTCAAAAGAAATGGTCTTTCATGAATTAGTCGCGCTACATCGGTTTATGGTTGTGTTTCATTAGGTACAGACGAATGAGAATATAAATATAAATTTTCGAAAATAAATAGCTACGAGTAGGCTACTTATAAAATGACAATTTGTTTTGCGGAGTAAAAGAAAAAGAAAAAAAATCCAGTCTGAAAAACGATTTAAGCTAAATATCATGTATTTACACTAGGTTGATTTGGCATAGGTTCTTGAATTGTGGCTGGCGTGGTCGGAGCACCGCTCGAATGATCGCATATCAGCTGAGGAAGACGAGGATGAGGACAGTGAGGAAGACTAAATGAAATAATCTGCAGTGGCGTTCATATGCGGATGCAAAGCGCCGGCTGCTGTCTCGATGTAGAGTTGTTGTTTTTGTTTTTTATGTGTCTTGCTAAACTGACGTTATGCTATAATTCCTCTGTAGTAAATGCAGTGTGATGAGATTTTAATTCTGCACCCAGGTAGATCTTTTGTTAGGCTATTGTTGTTTTTTTAAACGAAAGCATGTGGCTACACAATTAAAGTAAAACTATTTTAATGTATTTATTACTATTATTATTATGATTTATGTGACATGAAACTAGCATTTCTAAACCGCGGCGTCGGATCGGCGTCAGGTCTGGGTCTCTGTGGTGCTGGTGAGGGTTCATTGGGCTTTTCCAGTCCATCTAAATCACTGCTTCACTGATGTCATGAGTGGCGACCTCCCCCCAGATAACCTGTGCCATAAATACACACGAGTCGAGCAGTAAGAGCATCCTCGCTGCGCCGGAGAGAAGTTTCAACACATTTCGTCTGTGTTCAATTATTTGCTGCGATGTTTGGAAATGGAAGCCGCTCATTTCAGTTTTCTTCTCTGTGTAATAATATAGGATTTTTGCAGAAGAACAATAATGTTGAGGACAAGAGCCGAATTGTCAGGTTTTTTAACGAGCAGCAGCCCAGGAGCATTTTAACACGGGACAACGAGCGAGACCCTCGCTTCAGACGCACAGAGACAGACTTCTCCAATCTATATGCAAGAGGTGAGTGACAAAAGCTGCTGTTTTACAGTATAATCACTTATACTCTCTCTCTCTCTCTCTCTCTCTCTCTCTCTCTCTCTCTCTCACTC